TTGGTTGACCTTCCAGGTCAGGTCAATGACCCAAAGTCGGGAAAATCGGGACCTATTAGAAAGTCGTAAAGTGTGGCTGCTAAGGGGTTTTTCGGGGTGCTGATCACGAATATCGTGTTAGTTTTGATCACAGATGATGTCTTTAAGCATTTAGACCAGGTCGGGTCAGGTCAGGTCAGGTCAACCAGTAGGGGTTGTGACGGGTGTTCGTAGTACCTGTCAACCGCCTCTGACAGCTTCGTAACATGTTACGAAGGCACCAAAACTACTTCGTAAATGTTCAAATGGTTGCTAAATTGGAATTCAGCTCCACAAACTAGCCTAGAAACATGTAAAACTCGAAAAAGTGAACCGAGGTCACCCGAGGTCACCAAAGGTCAATGACCTGACCTGACCTTCAGGTGACCTTGACACCCACCCTAATGCATGGGAGCAACATCAAATCATATGTTTGAACGTTTGAAACCACGAAAAGCTTGCAAACGCGCGGCTAATGCGAGCCGACATACGCGGAATCGCGATTCCGGCCAAACATGGTCTCGGAAAAGAGGTCACAGGTCAAAGGTCATTTGGGTCAGGGTCATGAAATTTTCAGGGTAGGTGTAAAATTGATCAATGCGAGGGTACTGAAAGTTTCATTGCGATCGGCCGCTTTTTACGCGAGTTATTCGCGAAAAACCATGGGGGGTCCATCCGACCCCCCTACACATGCGAGGGTTAAATTTGGTAGCGCTACGTGCTATAGAACTCACGCTATCAACGAAAAACTCTGGCATTCGGTTGCCGCTAAACTACATAGTCCAATTTTCCCCTGACCTTGTACGGGGTTTGGGACCTGGTGACCTGACCTGAAAAGACTAGAGACCTGAAATTTTTAGGACAAGTGCCAAAAGGTTGCCCCAGAGGCCCAGAGGGTATGCTAAATTTGAGCGCCGCCGTTTTTACGTTATTTGTGAAAAACCTTAGGGGGGTGCATCAACCCCCCTCACCGGGCGAGGGCTAACTAACATAATACATTGTAGTAAAGGCTACCCGAACCGGTAATAATTCTTGCTTATTTGTTTAGCTCAGCCGTATTTAGGGATTTAGCTGGCTTTGTCCATGAATAACAATATCGGCAGGGGCGTAGCCAAGGGGGAGGGGCCACGGGGGCAATGGCCCCCTCCCTTGAGCGCAAAACGCGCCATGGGGGAGCCCCTCAGGCCCCGGGATATTTTTTTTCAAACACTGGATAAAACGTCTTTTACTCGGAAGAAAATTGATATCGAAGTTTCATTTCTGTGGCCCTCTGATGACCCAATGGGCCCCTGCACTCATCCGATGACCCCCGGTTTCCTGGGGCCCCTGGTCGCCTAGAGGGCCCCGGTCGCTTGGGGGCTAGTCGCCTGGGGGCCTGGTCGCCTGGCCCCTGCCCCCTGGTCGCCTGGAAGAACGCTTGTCACCTGCAGTGGCATAGCCAAGGAGGGGGCCAAAGGGACCATGCCCCCCCCTGGAAGCCAGGGGTCCTTATTCTATAGGGGCCCTGGCTGACACAGTGGGCCCTTGGTGACGCAAAGGCCCCTGCGGCAGATCCTTTGACACAGCTGAGTAGTTATACTTTGGCCAAGAGAGCCCCAATTTTAGAGCCTTGGGGCCCTATTGAAACCAGGGGGCCAGTTGGATGGGATGGGTCCAACTTGGGTCCAACGGTGTGTAAACAGAATCAATGCGTTCCGACTGTTGGTCTGACCCTATATCGGTTTGAGGGAGCTCGGATCGGATCCATTGTCGATCTGAGGGGCCCCTATCGGTTTGAGGAGGCACTCAAATGACCTGAACGGGTCCTTAGTTTGTCTGAGAGAGCCCTCCGTCGGCATGACTGGGCATCTGCAAGTGCAAGGAGGGCTTTTGTCGGTCTTAGTGGCCCTTAGGCGGCTTATATGACCCTCAGACGGCTTACGAGGCTCTCATGCGCTGTAGGGGCCTGTGACGGTCTGAAGAACCCTTATCCGACCTACGGGCCCTCAGACCGCCCTCAAAACCGACTGGCGACTCTATGAAGCTATTCGTGGGCCTATCTAACAGGGCCCATGGACTGCTTACCCCCTCAGTTCTAATATTTTTTGTTAATAAATATTTTTCTATTTATTTGGGCCCCCTCCAAAAAAAATATTGGATCCAACCAGATGGCTTTTTGGATTTTTAGGGGGTTATTTTGGGCCCCTGTGCGTTTGGCCCCCTCCTTGAGGAAATTCTGACTACGCCCCTGAATATCGGGCAACCAGAAAACTTTTTTTTTGACCTTCAAACAGCCTCCAGTTTGCTTAAGACCAGAAAGGTAGTACCGGACGTCCGGCCGGACCAGAATTTTTGCATTTGCTTCTCACTTCTGGGTGGGCAAATCGACGCCACTGGGTGGGCAATTGTGGTGACTGGGTGGGCATTTGCCCACCCAGTGGGTATGTTAGAGGAGGCCCTGAGCACATGGTCACAGTTATATTCAATCTCCACATAAACATACAACAAAAACGGCCATATAGCCTAACTCCGAACACACCACAGATAACTTAAGCCTTTGAAGGCACAAAAATGTTTTGATTAACAGGACAGGTTTACAATATATCCTCTGTCCTTGGGGGATCTTGCTGCCAAGTTGAGGTATGGTGACTGAACTTCAGGATTGATCAACCTTTTCTTAGCTACTACTTATATACGAGAAAGACCAAATGCTTGTTTGTTTTGATTTACAGGACATGTATACAATATATCCTCTGTCCTTGGGGGATCTTGCTGCCAAGTTGAGGTACGATGACTGCCTTGCGATGACTGAACTTCAGGATTGATCAACCTTTTCTTAGCCACTGCTTATAAACGAGAAAGACCAAATGCTTGTTTGTAAACTGCGTTGAAAATTTAATGATCCACCTTCAATTCTGACATGAAGGCACAAATGAAATAGTTCCCTCTCCTTTTGGAATACACAAAGCAAAATATTTAATAAATTTTAGTGGACGGACAAGAGCAATTAGCATAATAGCTTTCCCTCAAGTTAACTTCTGGCACTGTTGATGAATTACACTGACGCTTATTCGCTTCATATTTTGTAACAAACGCGCTTAAACTGCAATATAACAGCACTATATGCTTCTTGACAATATGCAATAGTATTAAAAATTTAGCCCTGATGGCATTCATTCTTGGTGGAAACGTAATTACAAAATATTTTGTAGTAACTATTAAATTCCGGCCGAAAACAGTGCACGGTTTAAAAAAGAATCATTTCAATGACGGTCCATTCTTGCGGTCCTGAAATCGCCACTATTTCCGGCCTCTCCAACGCAACTCGTTGTCCAGACGTAAATATGCGAGTGGGGTGGGGTCGGGCCCGCAGCGCCCGCAGCGGGGGCGGCGGCCGAACGTGTGCGGTGTGGCCATTGATTCTCCGACAGTCGTGTTTCAGTATGCGTTTTCGCCGGGTGGTGGTCCCGCCCAGGCTTGGAAGATGTTTATCAGAAGGTGGTATGTCCGCTCTCGCCTCTCAACTGAGTTTGTCAAGCAAAGGCGGCCGTGCATTCGCTGCGACGGTTCCTTGTATCCATTTGCAGCTTTTAAAAGTAGTTCAAGATCACCATACAAGGTTCGCCTAGTGCTATGTAAAAAGTAATCTTACAGCCCTCTTTAGGCCAATGCACACTCCCTTACGGCCGCGCAGCCCTTCCTGTATCATCCACCATAGGCCTTCCCCACATCCCTCCGCAGAGCCCAGCATTCATAAAGCCCTCTACAGCCTCACAGTCCTGCAATAAGCCCCACAACACACATCTCAGCGACCCCACAGCCCTCCATAGCGTCCAGCACGCAGCCCGGGGCGGTTATCGACCATGAACGTCTCAATATATTTCCAATCGCCACGGTCGGCGCGGGCCACTCCCGTAAGGTCCACAGAGCCGAAGGACAATGCAAATGGCCAGCGGTGGCCGGCGAGTCGAGCGGTCCCGTCGTTAGGTATGTGGGGAATGCGACGCTGCACGTACCGCCAGAGGGAGGGGCAGGGGCGCGGGAGGGGTCGGAACAATGTCTGGTAGGCGATACATCAGAGGGGTAGGGCTTAGCCACCCGGCTCGAAGGAGATGGGGGGGGGGGAGGGGGACAGGAATGTCTGTCAGGTGTGTGACGAGGTTTGACAAACCTCAACAAATGTCCGTACAGTCTCGTGGCGTCCTGCACGTGTCATGGCACGTGACCGCGAGTGATCGTCTGTCGTGTGACATATCTCTATATGTCACGACGTGTCACGACATGCCACAACTAGTCATGACATGTCACGGAAGTAAGTGGCATATCTTCTCTTCTTCCCATGCAGATGAGCAGTGATCACGGCCGCAACTCTGATTCATCCCACACCCATTGCCACCTCATCGGATATAGCTGAAGATGCCCCCCGGTCTGATGTGTTTGTTAGTTGCTTTACGAGGATGTAACTGCTGCGGTCAGGCGTTATAGGGGACGCCTGACCTCACCCACTGCATACCGCACTGAGGGCTGAGGTCAGACCACACCTGTGTGCAGAGGTGAGTGGGAACGACAGGGGATGCTCGTCATTGACACAGAAACAGGGAGGATGTGGTCGGGGATAGGGTCAATTGAGAGTTTCCATTGATCAACGGATTTCTACTATAAAATGTCCGATAGTTTCGGGAGCACGATTCCAGTTATGGGAAAGACTACCAGTTGTCTGACTGTAAATTTGTGTGTCTGTGACTGACCTGTCTGGCGGCGGTGATGATGCTCGGACTGTCTGGTTTGTCCGGTTTGTCTGACTGTCTGTCTGCTTTGCCTGACTGTCTGTCTGGTTTGTCTGACTGTCTGTCTGGTTTGTCTGTCTGTTCTGTGACTGACCTGTCTGGCGGCGGTGATGATGCTCGGACTGTCTGGTTTGTCTGTCTGTTCTGTGACTGACCTGTCTGGCGGCGGTGATGATGCTCGGACTGTCTGGTTTGTCTGTCTGTTCTGTGACTGACCTGTCTGGCGGCGGTGATGATGCTCGGACTGTCTGGTTTGTCCGGTTTGCCCACGATCACACAGATCACCTCCCGTCCGTGCTTCTCGGCGTACTTTTGTCTGATGGTGTTCAGACAGCTCTCGAACCCTGCCAAAGTCAACAGACAGCTCCGTCAGACAGCACCGATAACAGGCACAACGACACTTCACATGGGATGAACATTCACTAACCAGCACACTCAGGCTAACCTCAACTTTGCACGTCTTTCTGCTGATTTTACAAAGTGTAGAAACAATTGACGTCAACGATTCGTACCTCAGCACTGGTAAGCAAATCTACATACCAGTTTCATTCAAGATAGTACTTCAGATTTGTTCACCGTTGACAGATTTAGAAGGGCAATGCAATGATTGATGGGAAAACACTAAAAGCATAATAAGTGAGCACACGACATTGTTTGCTTACGAGATTCATGACATTTGAGAGTATGCATGTGATGCAGTCATTCGATTCAGTGATGTATAGTTCCTGGTCCGTAGTCACGAGCCCAGTGCGGATTCAGAGTTTACACTATGCCGTCCCCAATGGAACACCGATTCCACTGTTCATCTCCGCATCAGAGGTGGCCTTGCATGGAACACCACTACTCGATACTCATACCCCGTGACTTCTCCCAGTCACAGGACAAAGCAAAGCAGCTATTGCGACGCTTTGTCTACGTAAAGCGGCTACATTGCTCCTCTTTGGCCCCGGCTGGAGACATGCCCATCGTCCAATTGACAGCTTGGTGACATGATGGTGTGAACACCGGCGGCCGGCGTGGACCCGTCATGGTCCTAGTTCAGCGAGGCTCGACTGATGTGGCGTATATCGGGGCGGGAGGGATGTTGTTACAGTAGTACTTGGCACCCATAAGGACCAGATTGATTTGTAAGTGCTGGGGTCGGAAGGGTTAGAGACATTCGGTGGCGGGAGGGCGGGGCGGTAAACGGTGTAGAGAATATGGGCTGCGGAGAAGCAGACCATGTTTACATCTCTGAAGAGGTTAGTGGGTTATCGAGTAGAGATAAAACTCAAGGCTGCTGTGTGATGACTTTCAGAGCCTTAAACCGTCACGAAATTATTGATTTTCATGAAGACGTTGACGTTTGAAGATGTGACGCTGCGACTCACCGACTTTGTAGGCGGAGAAGATGTTTTCGGGCTCGAAGCAGTCGGCCAGCCCGAAGATGACCGTCTTGGCGAACGTCGTCATCAGCATGTTCCTCGTCACCATCACGTTGGTGCACTGCTTCCTGAAAACGGGACGAGTTTAACTGGTCAGTCACAGAGGTTATTCGGAGGAAGTGGCAATGATGAGTATGATGAAGGGCACCGTAACATTCATATTATTATGATGTAGATAAGAAGCGGCAAGGAAATCCAAACAGCCAGCTGTCTTCTGATGAACTGAGGCATTATACAGTGCAGGTTTTTTTTTTAGTCAGAATACACCTCAAGTGATCTCACATGTGACATAACTTCCTAATTCAGAGCAAGGAGCGTTAGCGCTAGATGATAAATACATGCAATCAAGAAGCATCGTTTCTGAATCAAGGAAAATATCAAAGGCATTCTGGCGGCTCCAGAGCCTTACATCAATACGCTATAAGCGTTCATGACCCTACAACCTCCCAGAGAGCGCGTGTATGACGAAACGCCGCCGGATTATCTCCAGGTCTGACGCCACGGCTTGTATTACCGTCTGGAAACGCATGACGTCAAACCAGACAAAAACCATCGCGTGTGCGCTCACAACGAGCTGACCCGTGCGCGTTGCAAACTTCTTTCGAACCGCAAAACCGCGCTCATAGACATAGACATAGACATAGACGTTTATTGAAGCCATCCACGATACACTCGTGGCTATTACGGCCGCTCGTACAGGGCTAAAACTCTGCATGGGAGACATAACATAAAATAACGTGATAAATACGCTCAAAGCCCGTACACACAAACAAACATACACATGCACTCATACAGACTCATGGCCGCTGTCTAAGTCACCTCGCCTCCCCGTAGGTGGGATTGGAGGTGCCGACCAAATAGGTGGGCCGGTAGACGCGTCAGTTCTGACGGGAGCTGGTTGTAGGCGAGGGGCGCCCGGCAGCAGAACCGGCGCTGCCCCATCGCTGACCGCGATCGTGGGACTGACAGATTGCGGTCCTGTCTGGTGGATCGCTGCCGCGTCTGCGATACCTGCACCAGCTGGGCAGCCAGGGTTTCTGGCTCGCCTGATCGCCGCACCTTGTGCAGCAGGCACAGAGAGTGATACTGAGCAAGCTGCTCAGCGCTGAGCCAGCCCAAGTTATCCAGCAGGTCCGATACATGGTCGTACTTTTTGCGGCCGAAAATCACCTTTGCAGCATAGTTAATTATTTTTTGGAGCCGAGAGAGGTTTGTCTGCGTGCAGTTGCCGTATACTGAGATGCAGTATCGGACCTGCGAGAGAACGAGGGCTTGGACGATGACGGTGACAGCCGATGGTGGGAGGTGGTTCCTTAGATGTGATAGACCATGAAGGGTTCCGAAACAGCGGTTTGTGAGAGAAGAAATGTGACTAGTCCAGCTGAGCGTGCTATCGAATGTTAAACCGAGATTTCTAACTTCCGAGACAGGGAGTAAATCATGATCGCGGAATTTGACAGAGAGGCCAGGAACGTTGCGCAGATTTTGAGAGCTTCCCAACAACATCAGCTGAGTTTTTCCTGCGTTAACTTTGAGGCCGTTGGCCTGGAACCAAAGGTCGATGGAAGTCAGCACTGCTTCCATCTTCCTGACCACGCTTTGCATGTCAGATTTTTTGCCAGAGACCAGAATTTGTGTGTCATCGGCGTACTGTGCTACCACTGCGTCTCCGGTGAACAAGGATAAGTCGTTAGCTCCACACCGGCTAACGAATGATACCATCCTGTGAGGCCAAATCACTCGATAAATCAGCTGAATGAGCAGCGCGTCGGAGAAGTGCCGGGCTGGCACATTGCTGACAGCTTCAGCGCCGGTCATGATGGCCACAGCGCCACGGTAAAAAGGCGACCACAATTACTGACAGAGGGTAGGTATAATCCACCAGAGCCGTAGCCGTGAGTGGCCCATCGCGCCGAGATATGGCAGTGGACGTAAGAAGCTATCAAGGTGACGGCTTGTTGTAGCGTCTCAAACCACTTGGTGCACCGGCAAAAGTCTGGGAGAATGGTGGGTGGTGGAAGATAGGATTAAGTTAGGTAGAAATGACATGAACGAAGGAAGAAAACCCATCGACTGAAAAAAAATATGAAGACAGAAGACAATAAACGGAGCTTAGAGGCGACTGACAGGTTCAAACCCTCTGCCACCCTAATACTGGCTCTATTCGATGCAACGGCCTGATCAACTTCAATGACCTGATAGGATGTCATGAGATGGTGTGATAACTGTTCTCCGCCATCACTTCTGACGAAACCTGTTCGTCCACCTACGAGTATACGGTGAGTGAGCTGAGGGTTGGGTGAGCTGGCGGGAGGGGCGGCGGAGTAGGAGAAGCTGATCAGTCACGGCCGTCTCCGCCGACACTAATCCAACCGCTGTCACCGCGCGCCGCGCGCTGACCGCTCCGGGAGCCCCGGCCGACCCGGTCCCGTGTCCGTATCCGTGTCCGTGTCCGGCTGCGGGCCGGATCCGACCACGCCCGGAGGTCATCACGGCTGGGATATACATAGGTGGGGACACCGCGCGCGTGCCAAGGAGGGAGAATGCGCGCTTCGAAAAAGAACAACCGTGAAGAGGGACGAGTTGACACGTTTAATTCATAACATTTTCAGCTTAGTGGAATGACCAACGTTTTTGAAAGCAGATTGTGGTATAATGCAGTGTTGGATTGACCGTAGGCAACCAAAAGGTCGCGCGGAAGTTACTAGCTAAACCGATCAGCCCAGACTCTTTGCATGTATTCACGGAAAAGCCCAGCACAACGTTCATATGCCCAAAATATAGAACCAAACAAAGAGTCCAGTCTCACACAACGAGCGGCGGCGAATGTGGGTAACAAAGAGTCTGATAAAATGATCCCACGATTTGAAACTGGAACACGCGAACGGAGGATCTACATACCTAGTCCTTTTTATTTCTGAACGCTGAGAGCCCTGGGATCTTTCAATATACAAAACTACCGGCTACCGCCTTCTTCTGAAGTTACCGCTAAACTGGGATTGTTTGTCTGAGTTGTGCTCTAATAACATAAGAACGTTCATCACAAAACTCACATCAGAAAATATCATCAAAACAATGATGTAACATTTGGTCAGCTACCGTTTTGTATAGGCAGTCGCAGTCGCAACTAGCACAGTCATGGAGCTTTGTCTGTGAAACCACGGTGATCTGTACAGAAAGGAACGCGTTCTGTTTCTACGGTTGTCACACATAGCTGTAGGGTAGCCTGGGGCAAGACGCCCCAGATAATTTATTTTGCAACATAAATTTTGTCCCACATCACCTGGAAGGCCAAATTCGTGCTCAATGCGTTCTTTGGACATTTTACTTTAAATTGCACCCCTCAAATTCATCCACTTATGATCGGACTCCAAGCTAGGAAGTGATTTGTGAAGCAACTGCAAATGGGGCATTTTGCCCCAACCCCAGGGCAAAACGCCCCACGGCCTGGGGCAAGTAGCCCCATACTTTAGAGTAAAGATTTAACATGGTAGTTGGCTAAATCTTATGTGAGAGGTCCGTTAGACCTCTTGGAGGCACGGCACTGAAGTTAGCACATTCCATCCTGTCAGGTGTTCAGCTATGACACTATTGTATGAGCAGGTTTTTCACCTACCTCATAAGACCAAATAATAAATTATTGCAATGCGAATGTTAACAAAATACTTCCTTTGCCATCCAGTTGCTGAGAAAAATACACATAAAGGCATAGAAACTTACTGTTCGCCAGCTACCGAACATTAGAAAGTGGGTAGCCCGAACAATACATGAGGTAAAACGCCCCAGGGGCTTTTTGCCCCGCGACCTACTGGGGCGTTTTACCCCATCACGTAGTTCGGTCAGAGAACAACGCCTTGCACTCCAGCAAGACATAATTTAACACGAACCAACCCGGCATGATAAGCGTTAGACAATAGTTGTTCAAAATACATAAAAGTCGTTAACCTGATGTGGACCATAAAAGAACGCCATGATACATAATCTGACAACAAAACATAAAAATCACTTCAAAAACACATTTTTGGCTATATCTCCCGAAAGAGTCATCACAATTTCTTTCCAGTCTGCTCATATAATGATCATATAGTGCACGTTTTATAGAAGAGATGATGTTTCCCCAGAACTCTGCCAGCTCCGAGAAACATCGGTGAGGCGTTTTACCTCGGCGGGGCGACTTGCCCCGGTCTACCCTACTCGCACAAGCTGAGGAACACACATTCCATCTCGCCGTATGCTATTTTACATTTGCTCTGAACACTGCACGACAAGAGAAATCGTGATGTGGTTAAGGAAATTGCCTCCCCTAAAGCGAGACGAAGGAATTTGCAGCAGCACTGATTAATCATGTTCAGCTCTAACAGGTTTTACGCGGTCCAACACCCCTCCAGGTTCACAGCCCTCCCCAACCTAATTCATAAGACAAAGCATGAGAAGCAGAAAAACGGCGACACACCTCACTTCTGATCTTTTATCTGTCAGGTTACGCAACACTCTCGGATCAGAGCTCTGATCCCTGGCCAAGGTGAGGTCCAAGGAACTGTCTCTGTTATTCCTACAATCTGTGTGCGTCCCCATCACATTGTTGGTGGTCCGACTGTCTCCCATCCCGTTCAGCTGAATGAAGTCTGTCCGATCGCCAAGGCCCTCCCAGTACCGATCCATCAATTCCTCTGATGGGCAGACCACTGTCGTCCGTCACGAAGACTATGTGCGGTAACTCTGTCCTTTAGTAGATGCCACCCACAAGCAAAGCGGACGGCAGTGCGTAAGGTCTGTAGGAATGCCATGAATCTCTACGGTTGAGGAAAACCCTCACGCAGGGACAGTTAGATACGTTTGACAGCTCTATTCAGTATCCAGTGACGTAATCAAACGGGTTACCGTGAGCCCTTTCACACGTCACATGGTGATAAGGTAGTTGAAGATGACCAAGGAAAAGATGGCTACCATCGATGAAGCGATACAAAACCTCCACTAATATTTACGATCTCACATGTGTTAGTGATGTCAATTTCAGAAATTTTGGAAACCAATACCAAACCGATACCGACCAAAACCACTGAGATTATACCAAAACCGAACCGATTTTCAGAAATAGGGGGAAATACCGACTAGATACCGAAATCAGGGAATTATCAAACAAATGCTTCAAACTTTCTCAAGACATATGATAAGCCTTGAAAGGTACCTAAAACTTTGAAATAAGGTAACAAAAACAAATCAGGCAATCTGTTAATTATTTGCATTGCAAAAAAAAAAAAACATTTATAACTTATTTTGTAACTATTAACAAATATTCAGGTCAGTTATTTTACTGGAATGTGGATTCAAATCAACTGCATGAGGTGTTAGCAAAATAACTTGAACCCTGAATCTTGTCCGTGCCTGAACCATCAAACCTTCTTTCAATTCAAGTCATTCATTTCGAGTCCGGTCAAGACAGGGTTAAGTGTGTTATCATGATCCAAAAGTGGTAACCCAATTGACAATGATGGGCTACACCTTGGGCTTGCTACACCATTAATGTAAACAAAGCCCATGATACCTAGTCCTACAGTTAAACCCAAGTAGCATGGTGATTGGTGACGATACTGACGCAACCAATTTTTCTTCATAAACAAATGTGTAACACAACAAAACTTGATAAATAATTACTTACGAGGCACACTGATAGATAGCAGACACCACTGTAATGATATCGCGATGAAATCTAAGTAAAATGTCCATAATCTTACGGAAGCATTGACACACGTCACGTGTCATCTCTTCCATAATGGCGGCCTTACAGGCGGCGGCCATTTGCATTTGATTAAACTGTATAAAATAAAGTTTTCCTTTTCTTTTTTGCTTAAGTTCACTTATATCAAAATTCCTTGTATAGATTTTGACATCTTAAAATTAATTCAAGAAAGTTGTAGGCCACTTTTGCTGAAAAATGAAGTACCAGAAAAGCATAGTTGTTCAATTATTTTCAATTAATTATTGAGCTATATCGGTTCCTCAACCTGGCGCAGCTGCGACATTGAAATGTTTTTAGATGTGTTCAGTTTTGAAACTGCTGTGTGCGAGTCAAGCCAAAAGCCAAGGTCGTCAAGTTAGATGTAAGTGAATCCTAATCTATAATCTAAGATTCGGAATCAGGTGAGCCCCTACGATTTGGACCAAACTTGGTCAGTGGATAGTACGTAACGTCCTGATTACGATGCACCCAAAATCTAAGCTCGGCCCGCCATATTTACGAAGTTACGGATGTTTGAATTTCAAGGTCATTCGGGAGAGCCCCTACGATTTCCGTCAAAATTTGTGCACGGACACTCTAGATGCTCCTCATTACGAATATCACAAAATTTAAGCTCGGCCCGCCATATTTACGAAGTTACGGAGGTTTGAATTTCAAGGTCATTTGGGTGAGCCCCTGCGATTTCCCTCAAAATTGGTATGCGGACATATTACATCCTCCTCATTACAAATATTATAAAAGTTAAGCTCGGCCCGCCATATTTTTCAAGTTACGGAGTCACAAAGTTACGGAATTTCAAGGTCATTCGGAGAGCCCCTCCGATTTTCGTCAAAATTTGTATGCGGACACATTACATGCTCCTCATTACGAATATCGTAAAAGCTAAGCTCGGCCCGCACTATTTCAAAAGTTACTGACGTTTGAAACTCACTGAAATTCAAACATCTCTAACTTTTGAAATAGTGCGGGCCGAGCTTAGCTTTTACGATATTCGTAATGAGGAGCATGTAATGTGTCCGCACACAAATTTTGACGAAAATCGGAGGGGCTCTCCGAATGACCTTGAAATTCCGTAACTTTGTGACTCCGTAACTTGAAAAATATGGCGGGCCGAGCTTAACTTTTATGATATTTGTAATGAGGAGGATGTAATATGTCCGTATACCAATTTTGACGGAAATCGCAGGGGCTCACCCAAATGACCTTGAAATTCAAACCTCCGTAACTTCGTAAATATGGCGGGCCGAGCTTAAATTTTGTGATATTCGTAATGAGGAGCATCTAGAGTGTCCGTACACAAATTTTGACGGAAATCGTAGGGGCTCTCCCGAATGACCTTGAAATTCAAACATCCGTAACTTCGTAAATATGGCGGGCCGAGCTTAGATTTTGGGTGCATCGTAATCAGAACGTTACGTACTATCCACTGACCAAGTTTGGTCCAAATCGTAGGGGCTCACCTGATTCCGAATCTTAGATTATAGATTAGGATTCCCTTACATCTAACTTGACGACCGTATTATATTTCATAAGTGTTTATGATAAAATTGCTAGCGATCTGTATCTGTTGAGAGAGCAGGAAAGAGAACACTAATTGAAGATCCACAGGATCATGACAGCATCGCTCACTACAAGGCTTTTTGAAGTTGAGCGAAGTTGAAGATTTGTGGGCTGATGGGGGTGATGATGAAGTGACAAATGCTGCCTTAAATATTAGATGATAATGGTGAAGCTAGTGCTGTATTAAACAGGGTTTTGGATAATGTAATTGCATTGCAGTAAAATGGAGAGGAAGACAAGGTCAAGATCAATCACAGACTCCTCAAAACAAAGTCAAATTTGTTGCTAATAAATGCTTTGGAAATTTTGAGAAAGGTAGTTTAAGTATGTTTTCCAGCATACAGTGAGTTAAACATTAATTCATGTTTATGTCTTGCACATTGGCTTTCTTTGTAGGATAATTATCCTCATGGTATTGGAATTTGCTAACACTGATAAGTTGCCATTTAACATTGGTAGACTGATGTAATTGATATTACAGTTGTCAGTTGATGTGTTTGCCCATTTGTTAGGATATCATGCATTTGGGAGAAATGTGTCATGATTGCCATTTTTCTTCATCCAGTGTCATTTAGCAAAATCAAATTTGAGTTCAGAAGGTTTATCAAAAATGTTTTCAAATATTTTATGACAGTAGTTGATTTTCATGATACCGACAAAATACCAAATGCTTTTGGTATATAATACCGAATACCGAATCGGTATTGGTTCGGTATCGGTATACCGAAATTTTGGTAACCGATTGACACCTCTAACATGTATCATAATTGCAAAACAAACTGCTTTCTAGGCCGGCCAATATCAACGGCCATCTTCTATGAGTAGTGGATCACGAGCCTCCGATAAGGGTTGTTAAAATTGGCACACCAAAACCGTCAAACGTGTTATAAACTGCTGCTAGATAGTCCCATCATATGCAACCGTTCCCCGCGCCGGGTCGGTCTATAAAGGTCACTGATAGGTCACGGTAGGCGACGGCCAGATGAGGGACCTATCACGTCTGATTAGAATCATGACTGCCGACCTCACGATTTCTGATTAGTGAGTGCATCTCGTAATTGCACCAATGTCCATTGCGCAGTAGGGTTGAAGGAGTGCAGTCACCCACACACTAGACCGGACAGGAAGGTCGGGTTCCCGGTGGCAGTATAAAAAGAATGGAGTTCTAGCTGCTCTGTCCTGGTCGGAAGGCTGATCGGTATCTCTCAGAGATCGCTGCAGGCCACTGAACTCACGAACTGAACCACCCACTTACATTAGTGAAAAAGGAACTGTGGTGACTAGCACGATAGCTGTTGTGCTAAAATGGGTGATTGATTAGGTATTCAACGGGCCAAAACCAGGACCAACAAAGGAAGGTACCCGTATGATGAACTGCGATAACCGATCTGACCCGGCATAGACTGACAGACATTTTGTTTAGGTTTTAAAAAAGGAAGATATAAATAGAGACAATCGGTTGCTGGAATGCATTCATGACAATCAATTTTCTTTTTAAATAAAATAGCTATAAAAGCCAGTGGAAATGATAACGTTTTCAGAAGAGCGTTAATCTTTCTGAGCTGGTTTCTTATTCGTGAGTTCACAACTTGAAGCAGTCTGATAGTCAACCGAGCTCTTCCCGGACTTATAACGTCATAAGCTGAGCGGTAGCACCATTCAAAGCACCGCGGAATCATAAATCGCATTCACACTGCGGCGTCAAAGACAGAGACAACACGACAATGCGCCGTGACCCGGGTGCAGAATACGACCAGTGACGTCACCACCGCGCAACAATGACGTCATCGCTGACCCCTGCTAGGACTGACGTAAAATAGTCTCACTGAAGTCCGGTTCGAATGAGCCACGCAGTGATAGCTTCTTGTGAATCATTGAAGTTACCGATAAAAAGCTCAGCTACATGCAGATGATCCTTATTCGTACCCGAAACAGGATTTGGGATCTTGATCGATAAGTGATTTGATGATTGCTTTTTTGACTCACCTTTCCTGGATGAGTTTGAGACACGAGCAGGCCTGCGTGAGCCAGCCGTTGGTCTCGATCTCCAGCTCCTGTCGAGTCTTGGTCCAGGTGTGCTCGAAGGACGGGTGGCGACCGTGCAGATGTGCCCGAAACAACTCTGCCAAACACACACAGACAGACATACAGACATACGTCAGCGGAGAGGGATACACAGTAGAGACAAACACTCGGCTCATGGTGAGGACAAACATGAGCTATCGGTCAGCGTTTAGCAGAACCACAAACTAAGGTATATGACGGACAATTCCAACATCAGGCTTTGTTTGGGCTCGTTTATTATGGGCGCTAAAAGGAGAAAAAGTGGGAATATGTGAGGGAAAAAAGTAAAAATACGAACAACTACGTCATGAAAAGGAACCAATCGTAAATTAAGAGTAGTCGGTAGATGTATACAGCATTTATAGAGCCACAGTGACGCAAATAGCGAGCGCAAGTAGTAGAATTCCAGGTACAAAAATATTCGGTTTGATGTGAATCGAATCCACATTCCGAAAGGCCGTGAGATGCCTGTTGAGTTGACACAACATCCGCCATGAATTCCATCAATAACTGCCGCTGGGCGTCACGGGGCTACCCCATACGGGCGGTCTCGCACGTCACAGCGGCGGCAGAGTTATAAATACGATCAAGTATACTGTCACGAGTCAGGACACGGCCGCAACGCAAACCGTCCCGTTTGCGCCCCATCGCTACTCCGCTGACCACTGTGACGTCATCGCTGACCTCACCCGGTTCTGCCAGCCCCGGGTCGTTCGCACCTCTTGTCTCTCCTTACCTATCAATCAGATGGCTGGCCTCGCTCGTGGTAGGTACACCAGGGAACGGTAAGATTTAATCCCACGGTAAGTTCTCCGTACCCCCACTCAGCAGCAGCAGGGGTCAACACTGACCCCGGCAGCCTCCCACCCTGACCCCGACTCTCCTCAGAAGGAAGCGCGCACACTGACCGCAACCACCGTCTTCCGGCACGACTCTGACGGACCAGCGGGGTCCATCCTGCGCACGCGTCATGACCCAAGGCCGGTGCGGTGCAGGTGCGGGCAGCTGTGGAGGCTCACCCTGCGGGGGCACAGGTGGTGACGGATGTGTCGTCTGGAGCGAGGGACGCCGCGGGGGGCGGACGGGATGACAGGGACGAGACGGGAGGGATGGGTATGGGGTGAGGAGAGGAGACGGACGCGGCGGGCGGCCCGGATGTGCCGCGAATTCTAATGCTGTTTTGTCCGAACTTGGATGCTTTGAACCAACAACCACTATTTGCCGGGCATCACAAATATACTGTTTTGTCCTAACGAATCGACGCTGGAACCGCCAGATTTTGAAGAGGCACCTTTACCAGCCCGGTTCATTTACAAATCCGCTACAGCGTCGGTGAAGGCGTCTGTTTTACCAAACAGGGTGAGACAAGCACAGTCACGGCTAATCTTTATTCCGCCGACAAACTCGTCAATATTGACTCCGCTCCCTTGTTCTATCCAAACCAAGATCCGTGACTTTGTTCTTTTACCGAGCACCAGTTTTCAACGAAAGACATGGATAGCGTCGCACAGCCATTACCAGCCTGTGGAACTTCCACCTCCCGTCTGCTGGTCATCCAAGAACCAACGCCAAATGATCGTCTACTGCGCCACGACCATCGCCCTTCTGCGTCATAAACGTCGACCTGCTGCGCCACAAACGATTCCCCGACAAACACTAGCAGCTTCAGAAGTGGTCACTGTCAGACCGCAGAGACACAGACCGCGACATACGCCAACCCAAGGTTGCTGTCCTGCGGCGACTATTCGATCCTTTTCGCTAAAACCCAGACCTGCAACCTAGAGGACAGTCTCAAGTCCCTCATCCCTACCCGAATATCACTAGGGCTGCATGATAATTATCCAGTTCGGTCTGCCTTGGGACAACAGTTGACGGACAGGCAGACACAGGAGCAGTGGAAAGGAACATAAAGCGGTCGAGATGAACACGAAGGCCGCGTGGGCGGACACGCCACACGGCTACTTGAGCTTCTAACTTACCCAGCAGATAATATCAGGACAGGAGTTACGTCTCAACAGACATGTGGGTGATGAATAAGCATAAAGAAGCTATAACGTACTTGTGTTAGTCCATGGTCAAACATTTGAATACGAGCTCGGACAAAGGATGGTTCAATCCATTCAATCCAAGGATGTTCATTGAATATAAACTTAACTACGTACTGATCGGATGAGAAGACGAATTAATTTCCATAATACAGCAAGTCGTCATAAGCCAAACTTGGATTGCTCTGGAACGTGACGATAACAGAAGCAAAGAACACACACTCTTAGCCACCCTCTAGCTCTCAAATTTCGAACAATGCCTCGAGCCGGGTCTGTCCGCACGCCGCACGGAGGCGACCGTCTCTATCGGTTCCCCTGCCTGCGCGGGCCACCGTTCGCTGCACCGTCCAGCCTCACAGACAGTGGGTAGCGCCGTATACCGAATATGGCCACCGTTTGTCACTGCTGACCCACAGCGCACGCTGGCCGCGCCACGGTCAGGGACGCTGGGTGACGATGGGTGATAAATCAGACACTACACAGTCAGCGGACAGTGCTGCTGTTTTAAGGGTGTATTGAACAGGTGATTTCAGCAAAGCGAGTGGTTATTTCCACCAAGGGAAGGTTATGTATAAGGAATAGCGACTCTAGAGAATGAATGAATATAAATATAAGCATGAAGCTTGTGTACAAAGAGCCAGTCCGTCGCAATAAAATCACGATTAGAAGCCGCTGGAAATATCCATCACGAAATACAAATCTCCGTTTCCATGAACGGTCAACTGGGCGTGACCGTGGTGACGTGTTATTGGCCGTGACGTCACATGACGCGGTAACGTCACGGAGCGGTGACATCATCAGCTCCTGCTGCCACTGTGCAGAGTAGATGGGTCGGTATACCAGCCAGAGATGGGTCCTAGAGATGAGCATTGAGCAATGGGCACGGATCACAGTGAGGGTCATTTTAACGACCCATGCTGCGATTCGTATCAGGTCACTAAATGGGGAAACCCCTCACTATTGACCTCAACTACCGCGCAGTATTGACCTCAACTACCGCGCAGAAGTGCCACACATGCCGGCCGAATAAACGACCCTCGAAGACCCTCTCTATTCCGTACTACACCCTGACCGACCAGCCGAACATTCTGCCTCTGTATAGTATGGATCGGGCGGCGTGGGAACGAGATGGACGGGACAGACGGACCGCACGGTACGGGCCAAGACGGGACGGGACGGGACGGGCTCTCGACAGGACCACGTCAGCGGCAGAGGGATGACGCTTTTATGGCGACACCGGCGCCGAGATAGCCGCGCACTGCAAAAAGACGGAGGGTCAGCGGGCCGCGGTCACGGCCGAACTGACCAACCTTGACCGATTCTGACCGACATGGGGGACCGAGGGGAACGGGAGAGCCGCGCGCATCGATTGGATTTACATAAACTCGTCGGGCCGTCCCAGGTCCGCTAAACGAGCGAGTGCCTTGTCTGATGAACTGCGCGGATGCAGCGTGCATAATCCGCTGTTGCCGAGACGAACGGGAAAATCCAGCCGGGGCTGGCGATTCATTATCTGTCAATGAGAAGTCGTTGAAGTGCAGTCACAACTCATGCTGAGCTTGGATTCTTCGGTGATGAATGAAATTCCATTTAGCTATTTCCGGATCAAGTCCGGGGCTTCTTCAATGTCAGGAGCAAAGCCGTTATTATTCTACGCCCGCTTACTGGCTACTCATTGTCCTGGCTAGATTTCCATCATGATAAAAAATACAGATATCGCATAACTCCTGGCTTAATTCTTCAGAGCACCTCTCTACCGCTGCAGCAAGGGACATCCGACCTGCCTGCCATCTGATGGTCAAACGGTGAACTATCGTCCAAGGCTGGTCTCAGTACGTGAGTAGCCTGGACAAACGCGGGTGACGTGTCGCGTAGACCGCCGCCGTATCCGTAAGTTCGGTTGGCTCACATCACTTGCAGCAGGTCTGGCGAGTGCCAGTCATGATAGACCGGCATTCGTGAAACGTCATTTCATTGTCATGGGCCCAGGGCCGGACTTGATTCGCCAGGACGTCATTACCCAGTTGCAGAAGCGGCTGAGTAGTCAGCTGGACTTTTGTTGGCCAAATCTTTCTTTTCGGGCCAGCAACACATCCCAATTGACTTCAAGTTGCCAAGCGCCGCCACTAGCCTCTCGCCTCCTAATCCACTCATTCATCGCTCTCAGGTCACCCCTCCCTCTTATCCAGTCTCCAGAGGGGACAGGACAGGCGACCACCCACCTATACCCCAGTCAGCGATTCAGAGAATAGCCGCCTAATGGCTGATGCAACGTCAACCACCCTCTGCCTACCGAGTACTGGTGGACAGAGTTCTCACAGTCCCTCCTTCCTCCGTCCTCTACCAACCGCCTGCAGCAGCAGTCTGCCTTCCTCACTATCCTCAGCCATACCCACCGCCCACCAGTCAGCGGCTGAGGTCGCAGTGAGTGACATATAACTCCCAGATGACTTCAAGCCTCGAGTTATCCACCTTCTGAGTAGTCCCTCTGTCTCAGCCGACATCCCAGCAGCTCGGCAGACGGCCCCAGCAGTCCAACCTAACTTAGCAGACGTTCTCAGCAGACGGCTTAGCAGCTGGGAGCCGGAGGCTGAGCCGCCGCCGCCTCCACCGCTGGCGTGGTGCGTCAGCGATGAATGACCCACAGTTCACGGTCAGCGGAGTCCTGATCCCGCCCAGAACTCATCCGCACATTTAGGAAGAACGGTCTACCAAGTACTAAAGCCGCAACGCAGGACTCTAGCTGCCATCACGTCACAGTTTCACTTCCTCTTCTGCAATGCCTATTCTTACTTCTGTTGAGAAGTGTCATGATCGTAAGAGTCCTCAATAAACTACCTGATAACTCCCCATCGCCTTCCCTCCACCTCGATCATGCCGCCTCACCTGCCACGTTGTTCCTGTACATGTTGTAGAGCTCCTTGACCCTGCGGTGTCGGAAGGCGATCTTGCGCGCTATGTCGGCGCTCACGTTGTTCCTCGCCAAGCTGTATCCGAGCGGCGCCGCCGGCACGCCCAGGGTGCTGGCCAGACCGTCCGCAAGGAAGTTGTAGTTACTGAAACGGACGATGGGAAAACGTTAGAAGGTAATGGTTTTAGTGGCGAATGCTTTGCTGGTGGCATAATCTTGTTTCAATGAAGAGTTGTCGTAGAAATGGTAGCTTCTTTGGATAGGCCCATAATTGGCGAAATTTGTGGTATAGAAAAAAATGACAAAAGGATAAGGGAGTCAAGTGGACTGAATCGTGTCCCCAAGAGCCACGCTTCACGCTTCACGCTTCACATGCCAGCTTATATGCTACGGCCCGCATCCAAGCTTGAAGCTTTCCGTAAAATTATTCCGCAGTAAGCCACGACTCTAAACACAATCCATACAGCTCGGCCACCGCTCCGCAGCGTCCCCATTGAGTCAAGAGTGGGCCTCCCCTCCCTCCCCCAACTGATCGCAGACAACCACCCGCGTCACAGAAGGCGGCGACCGGTGCAGACGTCATGCATCATTCATTGGACGTGTTGGCTGACCTGAGCCCGCCCGAGCAGACAGCGTGCACAGCTCCGAATCTGGACAAGGCGTACTGTAGATTCAGGTTTACCTTATGTGGTTAGACTAAAAACCTGCATCTACGCAGCCAGACGCGACCGACACACAGCGTTTTAGACGTTACGAGTCAAACGTTATACGAGGGCGCCATGTGTAGTACGTTTACATAGGTATGTAGCATGCATAATGCGTGTGCGTAACACGTGATTTATAAAGCACGTTACGAATAATCACCACATTCTAGACAGACGACAGGCTTGTAACTCCGTCCATTAGCTGGGTGATACGAGCTCAGATATGCACTTATGCATCTCGGTTAGGAATGTACGCACTACGCAGCCACATACAATCAATGAAATAAAACCTAAAGCCGCGGTCCTTGAGGCATGTTGAACGGGAGTGTCCCAGCATGAAACTGCGCACTTGAGTAATGTATCCATGCTGGTACATCTTTAATTTTGGTTGGCGGTGGCTTTTAAACTTACCGCAGCCATGAACTTCAGAAAACCAGACTTTGCCGGTCCCGTAGCTCAGTTGGTTAGAGCGTTGGACTCCGCGTGGTGAGAGCACGCGTTCCCGGTTATAACAGTCCGGGTTCGAAGCGCGACGGGCGCTCGACATTTATGGGCCTCCTGACAGGTATGGTTGCGGTTGGTGGCAGGCCGTAGCCAGGCGAAGTCAGTGAGGGGACCGGCCGTGCGCGGCTTTGTGCGCACGTTAAACTTTGGACTCTAAATTCTGCCATAGAACTGGAATTGCGCGATCGGAGGGTAGAGGGCAGGGTCATCGCAACAAGCTTCGCTTAGCGGTGGCTCTGTCCTTGTGAATCCTTCCCATCAAAAGGTTCGGACAAAATTTATAAAAAAAAAAGAAAAATACCCCCAAACTAAAAACTCCCCATGACGTGCAGCTCGTGTCGTTATTACTATGAATACCTGACCAGAATGGCGAGTGAATTCGGAGTCTTTTCTACGGCTGGGTGCCGTTTAGCTGCCCCCAAAGCCTGTTACGATGCACTGCGATCCGACTTACGGAAGGACATTCCAAATGCGCTCCCGTTCTGAATTTTTGTAGCTAAGACACAACATCTCAGGTAGGCGGCCTGTAACAACTCTGAACCCAGCAGCGCCGGACCAAGATGACGCGGAAGATACCGAAAGATCACAAACATTCCTTTAGCACTTAAATATCTCACGCTGATAACAAAACCTACAACGTTTTCCATGCTCACAACTCAACACTATAAAACCAAAACTGGGGGGCCTACCCGGACCTCGGCAGCATCTGGCACGTCTTAGCGTCAGATTGTGACAATCCTAGTGCACCAGAATAATACTAAACCGGGAGCAAAACACGACTTATCCATTAATCGTACAATGGGCGCATGCCCCCGTGCGAAACTTCGCACAAATCTCTGAACTGTGTGAATTATAGCGAAATAAAACTATACCCATAGCTACGATCAGTCAAATCACCATATGAACGTCAACACCAAGCATAAATGTGTTTTGTTTTTGTTTAGCCCTCCCGACCTCGCGACCCCACCAAACAGAAAGCCACGACCTGCTCCTGCGAACCACACCACTCCGTGTATGAATAAATGAGCATACAATTAAACAAATAGCCGGATAATGGGGACGGAGTCGGCGGCTGCGCAGTTGCCGGTGGTGGGAGTCTGTTCGGCGAACTGGCTCGGCCCGGAAACCCGGTCGGCAGCACTGGGGGCGGCGGGCCGACCGGGGCGACCTCTCTGAGTGGAGGGTCGGGTGGGCCGGGACACGGCTGGAGGAGATGATTTCTGTTGGGCGGGAGCTGGACAGGGTGGGAGGCACGGGCACCGACGCTGAGCTTGCTGGAGCTTCTGAGATGGTGCGGACACAGTGCTTGGAGACTGGAGAGCTTCAGGAACACATGCTGGTGGTGCAGCATTACAGCTTATAGGTCCTTCCTCAAGCCGCTACAATGACTTGAGTTGAAACGAAGTCATTGTTGAAAAACGATAAGCAAATAAGAGCTCTCTGTTGGTGATGAGATCATGATATGATACACCGCACATTAAATTAATGAAAGGCAGATCGAAATGTCAGTATTTTATTTCGAATCTTTTTCATACACGGAATAATTGAATTAAAAAATTGGAAATTAAATCAACGACCGGACAACGCTCAGCAATCAAAGACGGTCAAAACTCAGACCTCAATCATGTCCCATACACGGTGGCCGGTGCCTCTAGGTTACATGAAGGGTTGACTGAGGTCGAATCCAGAGCGGAATGTCCGGACTCCGGAATGTGTCCATTTCCCCGGAATGTGCCCATTTCCCCGGAATGTGACCGCCGATCGACAGAAGTGATCCCGGAGCCGGATCCACAGAGATCAGCAGATCGCAAAGATCGTCATACTACGTCCAAAAAATGCATCTAATATGATAGTTCGGACAGCATCTGAATCCGAGACATTTCCGCGACCAGAATCCGAACCAAATACGGTCTGCACTGATCGACAATTTTGCGGTGTGCTGGCTGCCGAGTGCAGAGCATGCATGTCCGCTCGTCCCGAATCACGATAAAAAAAAAACAATAAGTATCTTGTCCCCAACACATCCTGCAATGAAATACCACCGCAGTTGCATACCAGTACAATCTAGCGCCCCTACATACGCGATTGCTGTCTGCCGCTCCCATCACGGACCTCCGATGACAGCCAACGGATCACTGAAGCCGGGATTATGCTCTCTGACATATGCAAACACCACCATTAATCATCGCGAAAACACAGCTGTTGTGGCGGCGCAGCCACATGCAGCCGCATCAGAGGCTTTTCGGGCGCGTGATGTTATCGATGAGGTAATCCCAACCAGCGCGTATGAGCCTGACGCGGGGGCCGGGCCGACTGCCGACATTCAATCCCTGACAGACTTCAGTCATTCACCACAAGCCAAAGAATATTACATCATCAGGCCTCAGACCAGGATATAACCCACTTCCAAATCAATGAAGCCGGAACTGAAAAATTAGCGGACCAGCCCCTGACTAATGAAAGCTATGTAAAAAGTTTTTGCGCGATCGATTAAAGCATAGTAACCGCGATATACCCATCTAAACCTCTCAGGCCCACACAAATGCAGGTAGTGATTAGGCCAATCCAGGTGTGTCTGGTCACATGACAGACACGTGACCTCATGCTCCGCTAATGACTCGAGACACGTGACCAGCCGACAGAGCAGTGCACGAGTTCATGGCCAGGCTTCTGGTCTCCGGCGGGTTTAATCAATACGGTACCGGGGCTCGGACTAGCGGTCAGCAATCTGTCATTTCAAGGGTACAGTCGGTGACTCGTGCTGAGTCAACTGCTGCCTATGGATGGGTCGCCGATTGATTTAGCACTGCCGGAAATGCTGTGTGATCAGCAGTGTCTTGAGATGATTTATTGCTGAATTATTTATAACAGAGGTCATGGTATAATGCAATGTAATCCAATAGGGGTACATTTGACCACTGCATTATGAAAGGGTAGAGGGTGATGCTAAAGGGTACAATGTTAAGTTTGATGATATTGTAAACATTCAAGCATATAAATTCGAAACTAAACAAAACTGTTAATGGTTACATGACACAAGATAAGTTGAGGCCAATGGATGTTTCATTTCAGTCGATGCAAAAATATCTAAAGTTTTGACAATACCTAAGGCTAAAGCTCTTGTAAAAAAAAAAACATCTCGAAGAATTAAAGAAGAAAAAAAGCATCAATGAGAATCGCTAAGTGAATTATTGTTGGGGCGCTGTGGGCGCTGTGTTTCGCTGAGTAAGAAAGAATAGCCGAATAAACTCGACGACAAAGTGTCGTGGACATCGCACCACCAGTGCACTTACCTGAGGTCCTGGTTGTTGTCCTCTGTGTGCAAGTCGTCTATGTTCGTCACATGGGTAGGGTACTGACTCTGAAAAGGCAAAACAAAAGACAATTTAGTTTATATCCCGACTCCCGAGTCCCGACTCCACTGCTGAGATAACTGTGCAGCAGCGCTTTGCGGCGCCTGCCTGCAGCCCTGTCCTCTATCGGCAGACATTGAAACAAGAGCTGAGCTAGGTGGCAGCCCAGTCGGGGGCGCTGGCTAGCAACGGTCGGCGGTGAAGGCAGGGAAATAGTCGAGACTTGAGACACGCCAAAAACGCTGTTCCCTAACCACAATGAGATTCAAAGTTGAATGCTTATAAGTCTGGCTCAATAGAACATAAGCAACTTTTGGTTTAAAAAGATTTAGCGAGCCCCATGGACGTCCTGTCCAAAGGCCTGTAGCAATTATTGAAGCCACGATGGACGACATTGCGCGTAGGTGACAGAAACGGCACTACAGAAAGTCATAGCGGGAAATGGGAATCGATTTGACATGCATCATCAAGTTCAGATCCGGCTAGCGCTGATGTAGTTCGTCTAAAAGGAAACAATTGTATGATAAACCACCAGATTTCCATTACGAGAGTGTAGTTAATTGCGTTAAAGACGCGATCAATTTAATTAAATTTCGCTAGACCCTCAACACCGACACAACCATAGCGATACAGTGCCCAGCGCTCATTGTTTGACACTCTGGGAGGTACGTATGATGGCAGTGATGACACCCAGTCAATACACACTGGCCAGTTTAAACAAACAGTCGTGTTCAGTGGACCTCCTGCTAACATCAATCACACAGAGTCCTAATCTACGCACACGCAGGCCACGGCTCGCCGACCGGCATACTGGCGGCATTGCAGCGGTGTAAACGTGGGCCGAACTGGGCCAAGGACATCACCTGACGAGAGACAGGCCTCTACGCACTAAGTTTCTACAGAAACGGCATATTTAATTCAAAACATCAGAGCATAGCTCTGAATTCTGCTTTTAGTTGTGGGCCAGTGCCACACTGCCTGTATGCAGGGGTAGCGCATCGACGCAAAATGATCTAAGTTGAAAAACTACGGCAAATTTAAACTAATAGAGCAAATAAATCATGAAAACAGTCTATAGAGTGCTGTGGAGGAAATGTTGCACAAAGTACAAATACTTACATCTACATCGAGCTCCTTGAGGAAGAAGAGCTCCTCTCCTGTGGTGAAGACCAGCGTCTCTAAATGACTGCCGATCTGCGAGCATACCGCCTGGTCCTGAAATACACAAAATACATCGGTTACTACACGAACATAATCGAGCATAGTGATAAACACAGGATTTATTCACTCAATCTGAAGTTCAAACGAGAACGATCTGTGTAAATACCTAAACGCATCTGGAGCTTTCATGACAGCATTTTAAGTTCCTGAATAAAACCAAGCCACTACCTGGCTGTTGCTAATGATATCCAATAACAACCAATCGAATGTTGGCTGATCGAATGCGCCTCGGTTAGTCAGGGTCACCCAAGTCAGAGCCGGCAGTGGATCGACGACGGCGCCGACACCGATCGGCTGTGACAACAAACTCACCTCAGTCCGTTCTGTCATCGACCGTCGAGATGGAGGGACGAGAGACAGAGGAGAGAGGACAAAGGAAAGAGGACAGAGGAGGGAAGGGAGAGGCGGAGAGAAGGATAGACGGTGGGACGAAGCGATGGGGAGACAGTGCAGAGGAGGGAGGTACGGACTACGGAGGCAGCGTTCTGAGTTAAAGGGACAGTATCACCATTTTGATGAAATTTGACATTGCATAGGCCCCACCTTTCTGGTCCGGGAACTGAAGACCGATCCTCGAAGCTCCACACCGTTATCCCGCTATCGCCGCTCAAAGTACGAAAGGTGTACCACACTTTGAATCGTGCTTCACTATCTTCACTGTTTAAATGTTTGCGCCGTTTTGAATTGACCGCCAGTAATAAAACTTTTACCCTGGTCATTTCATCAAATTTTATAAAGCCAAAACGTTTTTCGCACTTATTCATCACCGTTAAAATCATTAAATAGTCGTAGGCAATTTCCGCTGTTTCCTTCGGATTCTAGCGGCTCAACAAAGGAATTCCTCCAGCTTGAATCACAATCTCCCTCCAATGTATGACGTTTATCACGTGATTGTCACGTGATATTTTCTCCCATTGTCAATTGTCACGTCCAATTGTCACTCCCTCCAATTGTCACGTTATATTTTTAAAGGCAATACCTAAGGCTACCTCTCCCTAAGGACAACTCAATCAGAAGAACGACCGCGTAAGCGTAGCCTCAATAATGTATTATCTGCGCCAGTTCTGTAGTAATTTTGCATGCTTCCAAACTGGCGGCCATGCTTGTATAGTGGTGGTTCGCTCATGAAAATGAATCATGAAAATGAAATGTGGTTGCAATATTTTTCACCGAGTTCGGTCCTCAAACTATGTTTTTCTGATTCAGAAAAATAAGAAATGCTAGTAAAAAAAAAAATCAGCTCCATACATGGATTTTTTTTCGATGATACTGTCCCTTTAAGGCGGTTAAAGTGGAGAGCAAGAAGCTGAATTTCGTGATTTTAGCACAGCTGATTCTATCAGCGCCTAATTCTGAAGATCGCTAAGCCGAGCTTATCAAGAGTTAGGTCTTAGCAAAGAAAGAAAAGCTCCATCAGTTCGTAAAAATAGCACATCCGCTAGCCGTCATTCTAAGGGCCACCTGAGCCAGAGCCAATAACCCAAAGGTCTGCTGAGGGGCCAGCCCCGACACCGACAGCCAAGTCCGCCTCTTTCAGTACACCGCCCCAACATTACTTTACCACTGCCCTGTCCTCCTTCAGAAGCCAGGAGCGGACACGCGTCAGGGACCCCAGCCGACACCGGCTCGCTCGGCCGCCGCCGCCTGTTGTTGTAATACGACCGGGCCTCTTTAATTGGTCCGGCCTCCCAGAGTGACAGGCGTCACACGAGCCGAGCCGGTGTCACGTCACCCGCCGCGGGCGTCACGCTGGACAGGCCCGTAACGCCCCTCAGCGCCGTGACGGCCGCCCGAAACACCGCCCCCTCAGGAATCCGCGGACCACCCGAAAGAACACAACAAGCACCTGCATATAGCTGCCAAAATATTTAGCCTATTTATTCGGCTCACAGCGTTGAGAAAGCTACGAACATCCTGCGGACGTCCACGGTAGCCAAGCATTTCGGCTTCTGATCGCATCATAGTCCGAAATTAATTATCTCAAACTCCGTTAACAAGTTGCGAGAACGGCGTCTCCTCATTCTCTCCTATCCGCTCACAAAGAGGACACAAGACACCATCTGCGCCACACGACACTCCTGCGGCTGTGCGCTCCGGACCAATTTAGATAGAGAGCGATTGTGCCCCAAATTCGTGCGTATCGGATCATCACACGCCGGCGACGTCAACAGAGGACACACACACACACACACACACACACACACGGAGTTTATTGGCATAGTACATGAGGTACATCGAGTACGTATCACGGAGAGTTGGCGTGCGAAGTCGCCGTCTCCGCGGCGAGGAGGGAGGAGGGAGACAGGAGTCGAGACTTGGATGACACAGACATGGTCGGGGATTACAGGGAAAGGGAGGCAGGAGAGGGAAAGAGACGGGAACCGGGGCATGATTGCGAATGAACTCAGCTTACCCAATACCCATTCCAGATGCAATATTTCAGGAAGTGTTCAGAGGCTCGATTACGCACCGTGTGATCTTAAAGAAAAAGGTTCTGCGTCTCTAACAGAAAGCAGCCCATTTTCGCACAGCGAGAGTAGAATGCTCATTGTGTCTGTCGTGTTACCGATGCAAGGATCCATGGTTATCCCATTGCCTATTCATAGAGATCAAACTGCTCCTTGGGCAACCACCAAAGACCGCCGGAAAGAAAACCATTTCTCCATCCGATGGACCGAGTATCGACCCCAGCCGGGTCCGTCGGCGGCGGCGGGGCGGCGCGTCGGCCGCGTCTCTCCGTCGGCGCCGATGACGGCTCCCAACTGTCGCGGCCGACGGTCGGGGGCGGACCGCCGCGGGGCGTCTGGCTCCGCCCCCCGTCGGCGCCGACGACAGTCGGACGGACGACGGCCGACGGGGGGCCGCGCCGCGCGACAGTCGGACCGACACACGGAGCCAGTCCTCGGGGAGATAGGTGCTAGAATTGGCAGTTACTGAGTCATGTGTCCGACTATGAAAATCGCCGAATATTTTAGAGGTATAGATATATCATATGGTAGTTGGCTCGCCCGTTGTGATAAATAGACGTCCAAACAATTATTATTACGATAGATTTTCTATAACGTCGTCGAAAATGACTTGTGAGGTTGGCAGGAGCACCGCAGGGGAGTCACAGGCCTTCCATTGCCTCCAGCACACGCTGGACTACTCACCGGAAAGAGTACAAACGACGGGTACCGAGGATCCGAAATTCTAGCCCAGATTAATTGAAGCAGAGCACTGAAAGACATTTCCGTTTTAAAATTACCGACAATTTAAAGTTCAAAACAATAAAATTTCATTCCGGAAATAATAATTACCAATGCAAAGTCGTCAGCATCTTAATTTTAGAACACTTCTATCATTCTAACATCCAAAGCTGATAGAAGCAGATGCATCAACAAAGAACGGCTTGTAGGCCATCAACAGGCTGCGATTAAGCGCCACCGGATTGTTGATCCAGGGCAATCTGACACTGGCCACAAGGGAACGATGCACCATCGGAGACTCGGCTGCTAGGACGGGAATAGCCCTTCAATGTCAATATGGCAAACAATTTAGCGCTATCCTTGTGCCTAATTGCAACTTGATAGCTTTAAAAAACATTTCACCTAACAAAGCATGACGAAAAGGTATGTAATTGATAGTGAAACGAGAATGAATCTTCCATTGACGGAGCCGCGTGGGGACTCGTAGAGAACGTATGGAGTTTGCTGTTATAAAATTATCCTTCTTACCAGTTTTACGCGTTTACCGACCGGTCAGGCCTCGCCAAATCAGTCGGAACTGTCCCGATCAGTCGGACCGTTCCCCGATCGGTCCGGGCGCTGACAGGTCAGTGGTACCGCGACCGGTGGCTGACGCCCGGGGCACGCGGCCGGCACAGCGCGCCGCTGTGACCGGCGCGCCGACAGAATGCCGCCGGCGCCGCCAAGTGCGCCACGTCTGCCGCCGGTGATGGAGCGGCCGACCGGCGCGCGCGCAGCGACAATGCCTCCGCGGCGGAACCGGCGCGCTCCGCAGAGAACGGCGCACAAATAGGACGGCATACCGGCGCGGCGGCGGCGACAGGCGGCATTCGGGGCGCGCCGAGGACGAACGCACCGCAGCGCCGTCACCAACACTGTCACCAAAGCAGTGGCCGCCGAGAAACCCACAGAGACTCCTTATAACCATTCTGAAACATCTTCGCTGAGCGTCAGACCACCGATTCCGTCAGTTGAAGACTGACAACGATCGCGATTCACCGTCCTTCCTATAGAAGTCGGTGGTCGCCTACCTCCACTGCCTCCCAGTGACGTCACTGGCGGGAGGGCTCCCCGACCGACGACGTTGACATGTCATTGGCGTGCCTGCCGGCCGCCGACCGTCTCCGAGACACTAAATGCGCACGGCGGCAGTTGTTCTAAACTTGCCAGCGAGTCGTACACTGATGGATAGCTTCCGAGTTCCGACTGCAGCAGAGTCGCGCCTGATGTTTTGTCACAGAGAATGCCTTTGAAATACCAGCTCCTCCCAGGAATCGAGATAGCCATGATAGCAATGTTGTTCATTACAGCCATCTCATAAGAATTATTGTTAAAAATCCTACCTGAGAAAGAACCAAATCACGAAACAAATGTCAACCAAGCGCCACATTTTCTGACAGAGTTTGTTGGCGTTCTCGAAGCCTCCGGAGTAGGTACTTCCCTAAACAGTTCAGCCGAAGCGTGCCCCAACAGTTCCCGATTGGTCTCCGTTTAACAGGTTCACTCGTCATGACCGACCGATTTGCCATTGGCTGTTGTAATGTGACGACATCCTACACCGTGCACCGCGGGCCGCCGTGTATCGTTTCGGGCTCCAGTTTCACGGCAGGGTACGGAGGGCGTGCTGAAAGCGGTGTGGGTTACCCAACCGCAGGCAGGCACCAAATCACACAGGCACCTGTTCTGTGCTGCCGGACCCGACAGATTCAGACCACAGCTGTGGCCTCAAATACTAGCGGATTTAGCCGGATTTATCCTCGTGGGCACTAATGGAGCACGCAGCATGGCCTATTCCGTGATCAGAGGTGAGTTGAACGAGATACATATAAGTAAATGATTCGACGGATAAATTTGTGCCGCTCATTATTGGCCAAAAAAACCATGTTCCTCTCTTCAGAATATCACGCCATCCAAGAAAATGCATGGATTGCGCACACATCGTTGCAAGGGATCACAGAAACTGCAAACATTGCACTGGACCTCTCCCATATTCAAATATATCCCAGACAGTTTCTGCGCTTACCTTTCCGTTTTCCCGGGCGTACTGTCCGGTCAGCAGCGAGTGGAACACGATGATGGTTTCGTCCAGGTCCCAAATGAAGATGCGGTCTATCTTCTGCGCTAAATCGTCGTCCGGTGACGGCTCGCCTCGTCTCCGCCGACGGCTGGACGTGCCGTCTGGTGGAGACGACGAGAGACGGTTAGACGAGAACGGGGAAGACGGGAAATACGGAACGAATACACAAGCTTGTGGGGAATCATTTAGAACAGTCCGTTTTTAGACAGTGTGAAAAGGGGAAAACGTGGAACTCGAGATAAAGGTTTAAGCAAAACGAGCTTTGGGAGTGAGAAAATGTGTTCTTATCTCGTATTATACAAACATGATGCAAGAATCATAGCTTATTCCCCCTGCCAGCCCTACGGCCCGCCCTCTCGACCTACAGGCTGACGGCTGACCGGCCGGAGTCACCGTCAGCCATCACCCCTGTTTACCGGAGCCTCCAAACATGGCACTGTATTCGGCGAACGCGGCCGGCCCGTAACGGGTCCCGGGGTCACCCTCACCAACACACTGCACATTATCAGTGAACAGTTATTGCACGACCTTGTGATCGACGCAGGAAAGTGGTCGGCATAGATATCCTAATTGTCTGGATATTTTACGCGTTATATAATATATTATATAAACACATCATATACATTCATTATATAAACGCATTATAAAACATCCGGTTATAGCCATGAGATGCAACTGTACGATGCATTCTGCCGTATGGTATAACCGCACAACATCACAACAGAGTACGACCAAACAGGCCACACCACAAAGAAAACACAGCAGAGCATTGCAGCAAAGTAAATCAAAGCCCAATCCTGGCCGAATAATGGAAAATACACGACACTGCGCCCAGTTACTACTAATAAGCGAGCGAACGCGATGAACTCACTTCCATTGCTGTTTCGTCTCCGCCGGCCGGTGCCCAGCGTTGGGGAGTGGTAGAGGAATGTGCCAGACTCTGAGAACTCCGAACCTGCCGAGCGGGGAAAACCCGGGGTCAGAGGGGAGAACCCGAGGTCAGCGGGGTTAAAAGGGGGCTGCCGGGCGGGCTGAGCGGGGAAAACCAGATCAACGTTGGAGGAATGAACCTTCTGACCGGGAATAACAGCGGGACAATATGTTTTTTTTTTGTAAAATCACTTCAGCGTTTTGCTGGCTGATTTACTTTTGTAAAGCAATCAGCAGCGTAATAGTTACTTATCTTATCGTGTAAAATCTTACGAATCCGACACAAAAACGGTCAACATATGCAAACCGTCAAACAAGGCAGGTTCAACAGTAAGACCAAGGAGGAAATTTCCGTGTAAGAAAGGTGTGTCCGTCACAGCTGTTTCGTTTCAAACCAAACGTCAAATATCATCCCACAAAATGACTGTTTATCACCGTGAGCCAATGCCTCGCCTATGTCGGAATCATTAGCGACGGTGAGTGACGTCACACAGGGAAGAGTCGCCGGATGTTTACTTTATACAGATAGTGCGCAGCTCAGCTCCAATCTGGGGGCTGATTTCAGCGCGCCGCTGCGCGCGCCACGCGCGACGTGGGGCGATTGGGTGGCGAGGAGCCGCTGACAAGTTGGCGCAGATAAATCAGATTATGAATGTGTTGTTTATAAGGCCATAACGCACTTACAAGCGTTCTTTCGCACTGGTGATTACGTGCAACCTTATGGCTTATGAAAAACGATGACATGACTTCGTTAGTGTAGAAACTTGACATTGACAAGGTGCAGTAATGTAGCTATTCAATTCAATCCTAAACCAATTAAATAAGGTTTTATTATCATGATTTTCAAAGCTTCATTTAGCTTATTGAAGTTATCTAGGTGAAGTTATTAGGTTATTTTGAAGTTATTTAGTCCGGTGTGGAGACGGGCGGACTGTGACTGTGACTGTGACTGAGACCTACCGTCGGGTGTGGAGACGGGCGGACTGTGACTGAGTGACTGTGACTGTGTGACTGTGACTGTGAGACTGTAACTGAGACCTACCGTCGGGTGTGGAGACGGGCGGACTGTGACTGTGACTGTGACTGTGACTGTGACTGTGACGGACACCTACCGTCCGGTGTGGAGACGGGCGGCAGCGGTGACAGGTGGTAGGTCTGCGCCGAGTTGGGTGTGCAGCTGCTGGACAGACTGTGACTGTGACTGCCGGCTGCCGCGGACACCGGGGACATGTACGGACTGAACCCGGCCGCGGCGTTGTAGTACAGGGCCGCCTGGGGCGAGTAGGCGCCGTAACTGCCGTACTCCGGAGCCGCCTGCGGGCAGAGCGAGGTCAGGGCAGGTCAGAGGGTGGGTCAGGGAAGGCTGGGCTAGATCGGGTCAGGCCGAGTCAGACCACGGCAGGGCAGGTTTGGCATCGGTTTGGGTTAAGTCAGATCACGCCAACAAGTGAAATAATAGGCGAACCAAAGCTCGCTGAGCATATACTGGCATTTACGCTGTATGTAAAGCTGAATCCAATGACGAGAAGAGATGCCGTTGGCCTAACACTTTCTTCGACATAGCCCTCCAGACCCAAAACGACGCACGTCCCCATCTCCCACTGACCTGTTGTGAGCCGGTGGTGTAGGGAGTCTGGTTGAGAGGGTTGGCGGACAGGCCGGTGCCCCCGCCGCCGTAGTTATACGCCGCCATGTACGGGCTCTGGGTGACCTGGCTGACGGTGCCCGCTGAGGAGCTCAGACCGCCGCCGTACGGCGCCCAGTAGTTCTGACTCAGACCGGCTGACCGCTGCTGACCGCGCTGACCTGACGGGGAGGGTCAGCGGTTAGAGGTTAAAGGTACGAGTAATTGTTAAAAGATATGTTTCCCTAGCTGAGCACGACTTATTCTATCCATGTTTCATAATAAATCGAAGACAGTCTTGGGAATCATTTGGCACTAGAAAGGCACTGATGAACATGGTCCGAGCCAGCCTCCAATCATGGCTTTGACAGTTTGTCGTCAGTCTGCTGTGTGGCTCAGGTGTGCAATTCGTGTACTCACTGTGCGTGGCTCCGTACATGTTGTACATGGACGGCGCCTGCAGGCAGGCCGCAGGCGACGCCTGCGCGCCATACGCCTGCATTGATAGGCTGGAAAGGCAGCACAGGAAGCTCGTCAAAGATCGCAGCAAAGATGGCTTACATTTCAAGAGTAGCGATCGGCTATGTGTGCTTTCAATAGGGTAGTGAATACGTGAATTCGTACATCATCTCCATGTCTTCCTTTCACCCATATAACGTCACCACAGCACCCTTTTCACTTTTAAGACCATCTCACGTTCAGTTCCTCTAAGACCCAACTCCTCCCCTCCCCGATCAGTTACTCACCTCTTCAGGTACTCGTGAGTGAAGGAGTCGGCGGCGGTGCCGGCGCCGGTACCGGAGGGCGCTCCCTGCTCGCCGCCGTAGCTGAACAGCAGCTCGTTCTGTGAGCCCGCTCCTCCACCCGAGTGGTCCAGCAGGGCGTCCGGGTAGGAGCGGGAGTAGGAGCCGTCTGGAGAAACGGACGGCTCGTGCTTTGTCGCTGTGAGATACATGATGAGGATTGGTGTTAGACAGTGAGTTGGCACATTTAAATTAACTGAATGGCTGTGAGCCCAGATCGGGTTCAAAGTATTCCTAGCCAAAGAAAACAAAAGAAGCTCATAATAAACTGCGAAAAAAATATTTTGTGAGGTTAAAGGTAGTGTGCCACCTTTGAAAGATTTCCCATTTTATTTTTCCTAGGATAAGAAGCTTCTGTTTTTACCTAATATCGCAAAAAAAAATCAAAAATGGGCCTGGAATAGTGCCTTTTTCGCCTAAAAGTTTTTCGGTTTTTAGATATGTATAACAACTGTAGTGGGCTCACCTGCAAACAGGCGTCGGGCAACAATCGCGAATGCGGCGCACTTGTGACAATAAGCAAAGGTCATTATAGTGTTACGACCATACGACGTACGGGAATGAGTTATCAGCTGTCTAATCGTAGACAACACAATGTCGAGCCTTAAACTGTAAGCCCGTATTGGTATTGTTTCTTTTATTTGGCTGTCGAACATTATTTATGGTTTGAAATATGATTTTATGTAAAATAATTGATATGAAAAAGCCGTCTTATAAGTTATGACCCCATTTCACCACACGCAAGTGGCAGAAATGACAATGATCAGCTGACGCATTTTTCTTGGCCGAAGTCAGAGCGCGCGGCCCGACGCACCACGCGTATTTGGAAATTCCGACCTCGACGAGCATCAGAAGCCACCTAACAGGCGTGTTCGAAACCGCAGGAGATGATGATGAACGGGTTTATTGAAACTTGATTGGATGAGCATATCGGTAATAGCGATTTCAGTGTGTGCATTTATTGTTCATAGTGGTGTGAAATGTGGTTGGGGTACGACCGACAACCCGTCGGGGCGAATTTCGCACTGGGGTACTCAAAATTTGAAGAATTTAAGACGTTTCCATGAGTTTTGAAGGTATGGATAAGTTCTAAAAATCCGGTTCTCCTTATCTGGGCCATTAACTCCATACGGTCCAAGAAAGCTGGCACACTACCTTTAACTCTAGATTTCTTCACTTTAGTCGTATACATATCAAACAGATAAAAATATCAACAAAACGACACGGAAAACCAATGGCACCATTGAGCATGGCGCACGAACGACGTTCCTCCAACATTCGGTGCATAGCGAGTGAGAAAAAGACCCTAACGCATTACCATTCTAAACATGTAACCTGTTTAGAGCATCGGATTCATCGATAGCGGGTCACATAGGACAGAAAATATCTATCTCGACGCTCGTGTACCCGCCGCCCGTCAATCATCTGCCGTCGCCGGCTCCGTCACTGGGAGGTAGGCTGGCCCGCCAGACTCGCGAGCGTCGCGGCACAGCCTACCCTCTCAGGCAGGTGGCGGAAACCGGTCCGGCGAAATCGATCCCACGCACCGCCGGAGTTGGGGAAGTTGGGTTGAAATGACTCGACATTAAAAAAAACTGCGTTATTTGTAAAATACCAGATTCGTGAACAAATGAAGCATGCAATCCCATAAAAAAAATGCTATGAAGTAAAAAGCATTGCATAATCAATAATAAGATAAAAAGGTGCTGAATGTTGATTATTTCATCTCTAGCATTTCATAAATCTGTTCTAATGAGCATTGATCATAACATAATGAACAATGAAACTACCACCCGGAACAAACAGTCGGCCAGCCCTCCTCCCCCCCCCCCTCCCAGCGGTACTCACGCAGCGCAAAGTCGGCCGGGCCGGGGTAGCCGATCGGCGCCGCGGGGTACGGGTGGGACGGCGGCGCCGTGTCGCCCGCCAGCTCCGCGCCCGTGGTCGGTGTGCCCGCTCCGCTCGTCCGGAACGGACTCGTCGCCGCCAGGCCCAGGATCTCCTCTGGCGAGCTGAAACACGATCACCCAGTCAGTCCCGCCGCCCGAATAGCGGTCACTCCGCGCCGGGCCGATCAGAAGCGAATTAATTTATCATTTCCGCGCATACTTTGCATTAATTATTTTACAATCTATCAGTGTTTATTAGTTATGCAGCTATCTGGCTTCTGTAAAGCGCGCCCATTGGCAAAATTGGAGTCGAAATTTCCGGCTCGTGCGTTGAACGGCCGGTCGGTACCGTCATTGATGTTTCGTCTCATGAAACGTTATACGCGCCCATTCAAAATAATCCATCCGATTCCTGAAACTCTAAATGATCAAGGCCACTCAGTCCTGAGATCAGCACAAATACCTAACTGTGATGACATCATCGAACCAAACCAGCGCACCAGTTCAAGGAACCCGCGCCGCATTTGACAGAAACGCGCCACCGTCGAACCCTCGCCGGAACCGCTCGATCGGCGGGCTCCTTTCAACTTGATCCCGCTAATCCAAACTCCCTCAGCCGGCAGCCGGCCTCGGCCAAACCACCAGAGCCGCGAGGAGACGCCCCAGCGGCGATAACCAGACGGCAGAACACGGCGGAACCTCAGAGAGAGTCAGTCGACCACCAGCGGTCCTCAAGCTGGGGCATAAACTTCTCTGTCGGTGGGGATAGTCGGCACACAGGCCGCCACTGACGGTTACATCCAGTCGGACAGTCGTCTCTCAGCGGCGCATCAACTCGTCAATCACCCGCGACACTCGGCCCGTGTCTGTCAGCAGCGCTGTTTGCATTGGTGTCTCGCTCGTCAGCCCACCTAGGACGTGATGCCTTGTCTCGAGGCCTCGTCATGGGTTACCGCTTCGTGGTATGGCCCGGGGGGGGGGGGGGGGCGGGACGGTGAGGCGGGAAGGATTCCATTGGCATGAGATGTGGGACAGGCTTGGGAGGGAAGATTAAGAAAGAAGAGGAGTGAAGTTTGTGACGAGTTGGGTTGAGGTTCAAGGAATGTTGCCCTTTCAACTGCATTTTTATTTTCGCGACCGACGAGCGATTGAAAAGAGGTAGCAATAATTTGGGAAGCCAAGAAGGACACGCACTTTGACACAAAGGAGGACATGAACCATCACAATAATTCGTGGTACCTATACTACTCCATCCGCTGGAAGAAAAAAAAATTGAAACGATGACCCATGCCCATCGGGGAGCGACTGCGCTGTAGCAGCGGCCAGGCAGCGGTCGGCGGTTGAGGGGATCGGCCACCCAGGCTGTCGGCCCCGCTGTCGGACGGCGGCAGAAGGTGGCCGGTGCTCCCCTGACCTACAGACCGGACCGATCGGCGCCGGTAAACACTGCACCGTCGACAGGAACACGACAGGTGCCGGCGCCGGACGGCGGGGCCTCGGGGAGACGGCGCCGACCACCGACCGACCGACTCGCCGGGCATACCAGCGACTGGGTAGCCGACAGACCTACCGGGCATACCAGCGACTAGGTAGCCGGCAGCCCGCCGGGTATACTGTCCGCACCACCACCACAGCCAGACGTACCGGGCATACTGGCGACTCGATAACCGACAGCCCACCGGGCATTTTGCCGACCCTCGACCAGACAAGACAGGACCTACCGGGCATTTCACCGGCCCGAACACAGATAGATGCACCGACCTACCGCGGCAGCCGACACTGACGAGATGATATGTGGTCAGAACTGACAAGAGACATGATTCGATTGAGGCAGTAATCGAATGGTTTACTAATTCCATCGATCTAGGCACATCACCAAGAATAACGTATCACTTTCACTCAAAACAAACGTAACCAACGTCGGAATTTAAACTGACACTGAGAGGCTCCCAGCAGATAAATAAAGATTTCATCAGTCAACAGTCGTTGAACAATGAACATCCGATGGACCCCAACGCCGATCATTCAGCGGACGATAAGGCCTCTCACGTGCGGCCTTAGAGCGTCTGAGCACAGACTCATTGACCCCTCTACTTCTGAGCCTGGTCTGTCGTCACTTCACGTTCAGTCGGTCACATGACGACAGAAGAGAGAGGGAAAACTTCTCACCCCTTTTACGCTCTCCATCATCGCCCTTTCGACAGAGGATTGACAAAGATAAACGGACAAAAAACTTCCATGGACTGAGCGAGTTTCTGTCACCTCGTTCTTCGAGAGTGCCTGTAACAGGACCAACTTGATAAACGACGTAAACGATCATCGCCAGGCGAGTGTCAAACAGACGACGTGGCCAGAGTGAGCTCAAGGGTGACTCGGCTGGCATTCAGTCATTCCAAACTACCCTTCCTTCCCCTCCCCCGTCGGACTAGTGTTTACAGAGGGGTAGCCAGCACCGAGCACCAAGCACAGCGCCGCGAACCCGAAAAGTGCCTACTCTAATCCTTCGACATGCAATTTTCTGGTGAGATCGGTGGTACTCGTAATCTCATGACCCCACACTCTATCTCCTGACCAGGTGTTCTGGACGGTCGACTGGCTGTCGACTGACACAGCCCGCCGCGCCGGGTGACACGCCACGGCCGTCTGCACGGTGCAGGACGTGTCATGCGCCGCTCGGGGGGCCGCCGGATGTCGGGTGGCCGCTACATAACATAAACACGGACCGGTGCCAGTCAGAGGCGCGGCAGCGGCCGTCGCGTCCCGCAGTCTGCCGCACCGCCCCGACCGGCCGGTCTGCCGCCGGTCAGATCGATACATATTATATAAGTACGACCTTCCCTCATGACCTCACAAACTCCTGTTTTTCGCTGGAAGCTTCCTAAGCCTGACCGATCTATTCAACCATCCCCACCTCCCTCCTTTTCTCACAAATATGTGCACTGTGCAGTGTATCTCACCCTTTATTTATATCGGTGTGCAAGGGAATGATCACGTTATACAACTCCTAGCTCTTATATAATGGCGCAAATAAACATATGAAATTATAGGATAACTAGGTAGAATATCGCATTACCTAAAAAATGTGTGGCAGATATCCTTGATAGCGCTAATCTAATGGGGCAATCATATTACACCAAAACAGCTGTATGATTACGCTTGGAGTAATGCCGCGTCGAAACATGTTTATTTTTTGTTGAGGAAACACCAATCCCTTTCCAGTCACATATTTGAGATAATATTCCACATACGCTAACCAGCCAGACGAAACCTAACATAACAATAAAATAAAAATTGCTAGTAGCTGGCAGTCAAAACAATTCTTTCTGCTTTCATCCTCCGGGTGCAGATGGAAGGGATAGAAGGGTTAAGCAGTTAGAAGTGTTAAAATATTCCGGGCACCTCTGCGTTCTGTTGATCGGGAGACGGGACAGGTGCTTAGCGAGGATGGAATGTATGACGAACATCGGCATTGTCTGAAACGGACCAGGCCTCCATTTCAGGCTGTGAAAGGATCATTCCGAAGCCTGGATGACAATAGCAGCGGCAGTCCAGGCCATATTAATGTTCCCATTCGAGTCGGGCTCGGCATACAAGTGGCGCCGGCGATTGTTTGAGCTTGTGATGCTCAGATGAAGTGGTCGTTTGGGCTCAGATTGGAGCTCAGCATTGAGTTTATGGTGGTGTCTCGTGTCCGCTTCTCCAGAAGACGTCAATTCCCGCGCTGAAAGAATGCTCTCTGGGAAGAAGACGACCAGCATGTAGCCCTTTAATGACGCAGGGTAACTCAATCACACCAACATCATGAAAAACGAGACCGATTTGTCACGGAACTCAGTTTGTCATACGGACAAATAAACCACAATCGTATTCAGTCGCAGCCCAATGAAACCAAACATACGATCCGGACTGAGTGGTTCAGGCAGTTGAAATATGAGCACAATTTACTGACTGACAGTTCCCAGAAGCCGACCATCAGAAAGGTCACATACGTTCGGTCAGACCTGTCACTGCCACTTTCTCTAAAAACTCTATCATCCTTGTAAGCCATCAAGCATTCGCATAAAGCACATCAGCGCGGCTCTTATTGCAACACCCAACGGCGATGTTTGCAGTCTGACTACCTATTATAGACGTTTAAGTGATGAGGAGGCTTAGACCCGATCGACTCGAAAAATGTTCTCCGTTTTGACGTTCTTCAGTTGGAAAAACGGGTAAAAATCAAACTTTTAGCGGTACGCGTCACGCCGCGTGCTCTGCACTAACACATCATCCTGCAAGTTTCCGCGCCGTGCACCGTTCCGATCACGTCGTCCCATGTCAAGTCATCTCCGCCCCGAGCCACATCGTGTGGTTCCGTTCCATGTCGTGTCGTCCCGTGTCCCGTGTCACAAGGCCCCGTGTCAGTCCGTGTCGTGTCTAGCCTCGCCGCGGCCCGACTCCACGGACGACGCCGGCCGGCAACAGGTGGCCACCAGAGTCCCTCCTCCCTCTCCGCCGTCGTCGCCGTCGCTGCACCCCTTCGCTCAGCCCCCAAAGGCGGCAAAAATAACCACTCTCTCACAGCGTCGAACGGCCGGCGGACCGACCGAAATGCGCCCGTCTATAATGAGTTGTGAAGGAGAGGGGCGGGGTGAAGAGGGGGAGGGAGAGGGTCATTATGGGGGAGAGAGGGAGGACGGGGAGCACCGCCCATCGAAAACGACGAACCGTTGGAGAGGACGGTGGTCCTTCGTCAGAAAACGGCGAGAAGAGTTCTTCATAAACGACGAGGGAAATTTGGGGAAGACCTGGTTACATTTTGAAAAAAGGAGTGAAGCTCATGCTGATGGCCTCCAATGGTTCGAAACGATCACAGTCAAAAACACGTCCGCCATCCGTGTGATCCGTGCCACTTCAATGGTGCTGCTATCAGATGTTTGGCCCTAAGAATGATAAAGAATAAGTACCATTTTCAAAATCATTTCCAAATGCCTAAATCAAGGAAATAACAGCAGTTTCACACAAACAGCACGTTCAGCCAGGTCCTTGTCAAAATCACACGGTTCCCACGCGTTCACCCCTTGACGAAAACTTACTGACAGGTCCGGCCTGGGGACCCACCAGGGGTCCTGAGACTTCAAAGA